TTTTATTAAAAAATACTTTAAACAACTTCAGGGGCTCTGTAAGCGGATGTATTAGGTTTTGTAGTTAAAGGTCTTATTGTTATTGGGCTTGTAATTAAGTTAGACTAGTAAGGTATAAAAACTATCTATCATCAATGATATGATGCATTTATTATTTCAACAATCAAGTAATCTTGTAACAACACAGAAAGTGGAAATTAGTTGGGGGGATGGGGTGGGGTGGGGAGGGGGGGGGAACTTACTTGAGGACATGAGAAGCCATTAGCAGCTCTGGCTCACCACCCCATTCATATGGCTTCTCAATACTTTTTATATATGCATCAAAATCTCCTTCTATGAACCTAACGGGCAATATACAATACACAACCATCAAAAGAACTTCCCATTGGGTAAGAGTAAATTTGGTGAAGTTGTTGAATATCGACAATTGTAAATGAAATTGCCAAAGTTACTGAATTATTACTCCTAAAATATATTACTTCTACCACTAAATAAAAAGTGAAATATTTTACTTTTACCAAAGTTGCTCAAATGTTATTTTTGTTCATTTCAGCAACTTCAGCTAAAAATACGTACTCCTTTTACACTACAGAGTACCTTTTTTTTCATGATCGAGAAGTTAGTGATCTTTATTTATAAATAAAGAGACCGGCTCTTTTGACACCAAGCCATTTGAGAGTCCTACGGTGCTCCTTTGGGCTCAAGACCGAGTCTTGCCCCTAACCCACCCCATAAAACCCACCCCTTGTCCCCCACCCTCCAGCACCTTTAAAATGCTGCAGTACAACTATAACATTTTTGCAAACTGATGTGAATGGCGGTGGATTTGTGGGATGGCTAAGGGGTAGAACTAGTCCTGAGCCCAATGAAGCACCGTAGGACATTGGTATCATATTATGTCATATTATGACACCCAAAATAGGTGACAAAAGTATTGTGGGATAAATAAAATAAGTTAGTGGTCTTTACTAGAAAAGAATAAATATAAAGTCCTCAAAATGGACTCTAATTAAAATAGTAAAAATACCATTCAGCTGCTTTTCGCCTTTGCAGCAGCTCATTTACAACCTGTAGAAATTTTTACTTCATCAAACCCAACTAAAAAGAAAGATGTTAAACTAAAAAAGTGGAAGAAAACATACATTAGCTCTCAACTCATCAGCCAATTCCCTCTGGCGATTCTCATCAGGAGCTTCTCCCCCGCTTCTCAAACAAGCCACGTGTGCTATGGCTCTAAATAAACATCTCCCATCCGCTGCAACACCTACCATTTGTACACGCCAAGTATTGGTTGGCAATTCTTGAAAAAGCCTTAAGCAGCCTTAGATGTTGAGATATCATAGGCAGCTAAAGACTTAAGTTTAATATTCTCTATGAAGAAGAGTTGGATGGAAAGTACAACATAACTCTTCCCCGTATTCAATGCAATATTTTAACTAGAGATATCTATATTTATAGAAATACGGAGCATGATATTTCAAAAACACATTTTAAACTTTAACATATACCGGAGTATATGAAAAATGGCAGTTTTCTACATATCATGATTAGAGTTTGTAAAACTTGACCTACAAAAAGGAAACTAATAAATTCATTTTGATATAATGGAGTAATTTTCAATATCAAATCATGTTTGAAGAAATCAAAACATCAAATGGTTCATCGGTCCTATTAAGAATCATACATTATGTCCCAAAATAACTCTTTTTGTTTTTTTAAAGAAAAAAATAGGTGTCTCAATATACTCGGTATTTACTTTTCTTTTAAACACTGAAATAATAATACACCCTACTAACCAAAAACTTCTTTTGATGTTTTTGGTCAAACTACTACACAGTTTGAACATTAATAAATACCCCCTTTGTTCCAAAAGTATCTTTTTTGTTTTCCACGGTCTCCAATGCACTACTTTGATTATTAATGTCTCTATTTGTATTTAATTTTTTCTTATAAAAATATGATACGGAGTATTTATAAACTTTATTTCAAAATGAATCTATTGACATTAAATTTATATCATAACCTAATTTTTTTTTCGTATTTTAGAGTCAAAGTTAGAAACCTTTGTCTAAGTATAATAAAAATTTCATACATCAAAATCGTATTTTAAAATTAACCTAATTATATTAAATTCATATTATTGAGCGTAGAAACTATGAACATTTAAAGTATGATTGAGATTGTTTGCATACCAACTTTGGGAACATAACAATTAATGTTCGAAGGAATGGAAATATGATTCATTATAACTATGCAGCATACCTGTGACTCTGTAATTGGACGGGGTGTGGCCGGATGAATCGGAGCTAATTTTATCAGCTTGGCCTGCGGAGGGGACGGCTGCCTCAGGATTGGAATCAGAGAGATCGATTAGGGGCGGCGCAGCCCAGCAGGGGCAGCCGCCGAAAAGGAGCAAGGCTGAGTCTGGATTCCGCAGCCACCGCGCCGGCCTCGCATTCCAGGACCCTTCCACCACTTTCCCCAGCTGGCAATCGCGGCGGTGAAACACCGCCGACCTACTTCCCCCACGTTCGGCCGCGACGCTTCCGAATCTACAACTATTGGAGTGGCGCAGCCGCCGCGGACCGTCGCAGTGGACTAGAACCGGCCGAATTGGACTTCCGGACAGTCGATTGCGCACCGCCGCGGTCGAGCAGCGGGCACGGTACAGCGAAAGCGTCGCCGAAAGCCACGGCTTGGGGCGGCGCGCACAGAGGGTGCCGAGCATCGCCGACCAACCGACGACGCCGCTGTGTGTCGGGAACAAGACCTTTCAACTCGGGGCGGCCATGGAAGTGCTTTTCAACTCCTTTTATGGAGGAGACGAAATGGAATCGGAGAGACGAAAAGGTTTTTGGCGTATGGTCGAAAATGGCGTTTGGGGTTTACAGAGAGAGAGAGTGTGTGTGTGTGAATCGGTAGCTGGAAACATGCCGCAAAATTTGTCTACCTGCCACAAATTATATACTCCCTCTTTTTTTCTCTATTTAAATAATGATTATTTTCATTTTAATGTAAAATGCAAACAAAATAAAATTTTAAGTTGTTTCAATTCTTTCTATTTAAAGATTGGTATAAAAATAAAATTTGTATTTTTAAAAACTACGCCTAAACTGTTTCAATAAAAGAATATTTTATATTATCAAATAATCGTTCAAAACGTCAAAATAAACAAAGGTTTTTGTAATTTTTAATAGTGAACTGTAACATATTTTTTTGGACGAAAGGAGTACAATATTTTCTCCGTCCCGCTTTCAAAAATAAATATTTTCTCCGTCCCATTCTTTTTGTGATACATGGGGTACGGTAGTAAGGCAAAAAATTAAAAATAAATTGTGGTTGATATTGATGTTAAAGAGTAAGATTAAATGTGTATGATTGAAAATCACACAAATATACTGTGACACAAATATAGTGTGACCAGTGGTTAAAAGTTTATTTTTTTGAACATTACAGAGTATTTCTAGGATTTATGTAATAAAGTATTTAAATTATGAGAATTGATTGGAAACCTTAAAAGGAGTTGAAAAGCACTTAAGAGTTTTAAGAGAAGGAAAATTGAATTTTAAAAAAATGCACCAAAAAGGAAATGTGTGCATTCTTCAAAAGAATTAAATAATTTGTTCATTTTATTGATATTAATAAAAGTATTGAAATGACATTAAATACTCCATTCGTCCTAAAATTAAAGTCTAACTTTCAAATTAGACATCTCAAAACAAAAGTCTTATTTTCTTTTTTCACATACCTAAGACTACTACAAATGTTTTAGTGTCCGTTTAAAATAAAGAAAAATAATTTCTAAAAGTCATTTTTCTTGGTTGTGGTGTTTGGTGAACTTGGAAAATGAGAAGTCAATAGAAAATGCCTTGGTCAAATGGAAAATGAGGTTGGTTTTCAGATTGTGAATTTGAGTTTTTTTGAAGTCATTTTCCGCCTTGTCTCTAGTCTGTACCTCTTTTTCTTCGCTCTATCTATAAAATTTATAGTAGAAAAATGATCATTAGATTGGATTATAAAATATTTGTGTTGAACTAGATTAAAAAATTGAGTCTGATTATTTAATTAATTACTCGATTCAACTTAATAAATTATAAACCTATTGCTCCCTCCGTCTCGAACTATTTGCAACATTTACTTTTTCAGCAGTCGCATAAACTTTTGTTTCTATTTACGTTTTAATGGTTATTAGATAAAATAAAATATTCTTGACACCTCTTATTTCGAAGAATTTTTCATATAATTTTTTGATATGTAAATTTTATTTTTAATTTCTTTACTAATGTGTAAATAAAATGAATTGAAAAAACTTGATATTTTGTCTCGGAAATACAAGTGTGACAAATATTTAAGTACAGAGCGCGTATATTTTTTTCAATTTTTTGATGTGACATAAATTCTAACATATTTGGACGGCTAAGCTTTGTTTAGGTTTGGACGTACAGGGAACGGCAATATGTGGTTTAGGTTTGTACAGGACGACGAAGCTTTAAGGTTTGAATTCAATTCCAACCACAGGAAATCTTTGTTCATATCTAAGAGCACTGGTAATACATTTGAAGCCTCAGAGCTTCAAACCGGGGCTTCAAATTTTTTCTCTCTGCCACGTCAGGTTTAACTTACACCCAAAATTAACTGGAAATGGTTTTGAAGTCCCCGAGGCTTCAAACTGGGGCTTCAAACCTTCATTTTTTACATTTTTAAAGAGTGAAGTGCACCGTTTACCCCTGAATTCTTTGAAAATTGCATGGTTTACCCCCGAATATTAAAAAGTGCACCAAATACCCCTGAATTCTTCAGAAATTGCACAGTTTACCCCTGAACAATAAAAATTGCACNAAATTTATTAATTTAAATTTAAAAGATGTATATTTAAAAATGGAGTTAAGTGCACAGTTTACCCCCGTACTCTTTAGAAATTGCATGCTTTACCCCTGAACTTTAAAAAGTGCATCGATTACCCTTGAACTCTTCGAAAATTGCACGATTTACCCCTGCAGACTAAAAATGCACCAAATACCCTTGAACAAATTAAAACGTTGCATCGTTGGTCGTAAACTATTAGATAGAGAGGGCGTTGCTTCCACGCACAAGAATTGTGAATATCATTCATCTGACCCTTGTGAATTTTCCAAAATATCTTTACCCAAAATTGTCATCTTTATTTAAATGTTCAGGAGTAAACCTTACAATTTTCGAAGAGTTCAGAGGTATTTAGTGCAATTTTTATTGTTCAGGGGTAAACTGTGCAATTTCTGAAGAATTCAGGGGTATTTGGTGCACTTTTTAATATTCGGGGGTAAACCATGCAATTTTCAAAGAATTCAGGGGTAAACGGTGCACTTCACTCTTTAAAAATGTAAAAAATGAAGGTTTGAAGCCCCAGTTTGAAGCCTCGGGGACTTCAAAACCATTTCCAGTTAATTTTGGGTGTAAGTTAAACCTGACGTGGCAGAGAGAAAAAATTTGAAGCCCCGGTTTGAAGCTCTGAGGCTTCAAATGTATTACCAGTGCTCTTAGATATGAACAAAGATTTCCTGTGGTTGGAATTGAATTCAAACCTTAAAGCTTCGTCGTCCTGTACAAACCTAAACCACATATTGCCGTTCCCTGTACGTCCAAACCTAAACAAAGCTTAGCCGTCCAAATATGTTAGAATTTATGTCACATCAAAAAATTGAAAAAAATATACGCGCTCTGTACTTAAATATTTGTCACACTTGTATTTCCGAGACAAAATATCAAGTTTTTTCAATTCATTTTATTTACACATTAGTAAAGAAATTAAAAATAAAATTTACATATCAAAAAATTATATGAAAAATTCTTCGAAATAAGAGGTGTCAAGAATATTTTATTTTATCTAATAACCATTAAAACGTAAATAGAAACAAAAGTTTATGCGACTGCTGAAAAAGTAAATGTTGCAAATAGTTCGAGACGGAGGGAGCAATAGGTTTATAATTTATTAAGTTGAATCGAGTAATTAATTAAATAATCAGACTCAATTTTTTAATCTAGTTCAACACAAATATTTTATAATCCAATCTAATGATCATTTTTCTACTATAAATTTTATAGATAGAGCGAAGAAAAAGAGGTACAGACTAGAGACAAGGCGGAAAATGACTTCAAAAAAACTCAAATTCACAATCTGAAAACCAACCTCATTTTCCATTTGACCAAGGCATTTTCTATTGACTTCTCATTTTCCAAGTTCACCAAACACCACAACCAAGAAAAATGACTTTTAGAAATTATTTTTCTTTATTTTAAACGGACACTAAAACATTTGTAGTAGTCTTAGGTATGTGAAAAAAGAAAATAAGACTTTTGTTTTGAGATGTCTAATTTGAAAGTTAGACTTTAATTTTAGGACGAATGGAGTATTTAATGTCATTTCAATACTTTTATTAATATCAATAAAATGAACAAATTATTTAATTCTTTTGAAGAATGCACACATTTCCTTTTTGGTGCATTTTTTTAAAATTCAATTTTCCTTCTCTTAAAACTCTTAAGTGCTTTTCAACTCCTTTTAAGGTTTCCAATCAATTCTCATAATTTAAATACTTTATTACATAAATCCTAGAAATACTCTGTAATGTTCAAAAAAATAAACTTTTAACCACTGGTCACACTATATTTGTGTCACAGTATATTTGTGTGATTTTCAATCATACACATTTAATCTTACTCTTTAACATCAATATCAACCACAATTTATTTTTAATTTTTTGCCTTACTACCGTACCCCATGTATCACAAAAAGAATGGGACGGAGAAAATATTTATTTTTGAAAGCGGGACGGAGAAAATATTGTACTCCTTTCGTCCAAAAAAATATGTTACAGTTCACTATTAAAAATTACAAAAACCTTTGTTTATTTTGACGTTTTGAACGATTATTTGATAATATAAAATATTCTTTTATTGAAACAGTTTAGGCGTAGTTTTTAAAAATACAAATTTTATTTTTATACCAATCTTTAAATAGAAAGAATTGAAACAACTTAAAATTTTATTTTGTTTGCATTTTACATTAAAATGAAAATAATCATTATTTAAATAGAGAAAAAAAGAGGGAGTATATAATTTGTGGCAGGTAGACAAATTTTGCGGCATGTTTCCAGCTACCGATTCACACACACACACTCTCTCTCTCTGTAAACCCCAAACGCCATTTTCGACCATACGCCAAAAACCTTTTCGTCTCTCCGATTCCATTTCGTCTCCTCCATAAAAGGAGTTGAAAAGCACTTCCATGGCCGCCCCGAGTTGAAAGGTCTTGTTCCCGACACACAGCGGCGTCGTCGGTTGGTCGGCGATGCTCGGCACCCTCTGTGCGCGCCGCCCCAAGCCGTGGCTTTCGGCGACGCTTTCGCTGTACCGTGCCCGCTGCTCGACCGCGGCGGTGCGCAATCGACTGTCCGGAAGTCCAATTCGGCCGGTTCTAGTCCACTGCGACGGTCCGCGGCGGCTGCGCCACTCCAATAGTTGTAGATTCGGAAGCGTCGCGGCCGAACGTGGGGGAAGTAGGTCGGCGGTGTTTCACCGCCGCGATTGCCAGCTGGGGAAAGTGGTGGAAGGGTCCTGGAATGCGAGGCCGGCGCGGTGGCTGCGGAATCCAGACTCAGCCTTGCTCCTTTTCGGCGGCTGCCCCTGCTGGGCTGCGCCGCCCCTAATCGATCTCTCTGATTCCAATCCTGAGGCAGCCGTCCCCTCCGCAGGCCAAGCTGATAAAATTAGCTCCGATTCATCCGGCCACACCCCGTCCAATTACAGAGTCACAGGTATGCTGCATAGTTATAATGAATCATATTTCCATTCCTTCGAACATTAATTGTTATGTTCCCAAAGTTGGTATGCAAACAATCTCAATCATACTTTAAATGTTCATAGTTTCTACGCTCAATAATATGAATTTAATATAATTAGGTTAATTTTAAAATACGATTTTGATGTATGAAATTTTTATTATACTTAGACAAAGGTTTCTAACTTTGACTCTAAAATACGAAAAAAAAATTAGGTTATGATATAAATTTAATGTCAATAGATTCATTTTGAAATAAAGTTTATAAATACTCCGTATCATATTTTTATAAGAAAAAATTAAATACAAATAGAGACATTAATAATCAAAGTAGTGCATTGGAGACCGTGGAAAACAAAAAAGATACTTTTGGAACAAAGGGGGTATTTATTAATGTTCAAACTGTGTAGTAGTTTGACCAAAAACATCAAAAGAAGTTTTTGGTTAGTAGGGTGTATTATTATTTCAGTGTTTAAAAGAAAAGTAAATACCGAGTATATTGAGACACCTATTTTTTTCTTTAAAAAAACAAAAAGAGTTATTTTGGGACATAATGTATGATTCTTAATAGGACCGATGAACCATTTGATGTTTTGATTTCTTCAAACATGATTTGATATTGAAAATTACTCCATTATATCAAAATGAATTTATTAGTTTCCTTTTTGTAGGTCAAGTTTTACAAACTCTAATCATGATATGTAGAAAACTGCCATTTTTCATATACTCCGGTATATGTTAAAGTTTAAAATGTGTTTTTGAAATATCATGCTCCGTATTTCTATAAATATAGATATCTCTAGTTAAAATATTGCATTGAATACGGGGAAGAGTTATGTTGTACTTTCCATCCAACTCTTCTTCATAGAGAATATTAAACTTAAGTCTTTAGCTGCCTATGATATCTCAACATCTAAGGCTGCTTAAGGCTTTTTCAAGAATTGCCAACCAATACTTGGCGTGTACAAATGGTAGGTGTTGCAGCGGATGGGAGATGTTTATTTAGAGCCATAGCACACGTGGCTTGTTTGAGAAGCGGGGGAGAAGCTCCTGATGAGAATCGCCAGAGGGAATTGGCTGATGAGTTGAGAGCTAATGTATGTTTTCTTCCACTTTTTTAGTTTAACATCTTTCTTTTTAGTTGGGTTTGATGAAGTAAAAATTTCTACAGGTTGTAAATGAGCTGCTGCAAAGGCGAAAAGCAGCTGAATGGTATTTTTACTATTTTAATTAGAGTCCATTTTGAGGACTTTATATTTATTCTTTTCTAGTAAAGACCACTAACTTATTTTATTTATCCCACAATACTTTTGTCACCTATTTTGGGTGTCATAATATGACATAATATGATACCAATGTCCTACGGTGCTTCATTGGGCTCAGGACTAGTTCTACCCCTTAGCCATCCCACAAATCCACCGCCATTCACATCAGTTTGCAAAAATGTTATAGTTGTACTGCAGCATTTTAAAGGTGCTGGAGGGTGGGGGACAAGGGGTGGGTTTTATGGGGTGGGTTAGGGGCAAGACTCGGTCTTGAGCCCAAAGGAGCACCGTAGGACTCTCAAATGGCTTGGTGTCAAAAGAGCCGGTCTCTTTATTTATAAATAAAGATCACTAACTTCTCGATCATGAAAAAAAAGGTACTCTGTAGTGTAAAAGGAGTACGTATTTTTAGCTGAAGTTGCTGAAATGAACAAAAATAACATTTGAGCAACTTTGGTAAAAGTAAAATATTTCACTTTTTATTTAGTGGTAGAAGTAATATATTTTAGGAGTAATAATTCAGTAACTTTGGCAATTTCATTTACAATTGTCGATATTCAACAACTTCACCAAATTTACTCTTACCCAATGGGAAGTTCTTTTGATGGTTGTGTATTGTATATTGCCCGTTAGGTTCATAGAAGGAGATTTTGATGCATATATAAAAAGTATTGAGAAGCCATATGAATGGGGTGGTGAGCCAGAGCTGCTAATGGCTTCTCATGTCCTCAAGTAAGTTCCCCCCCCCTCCCCACCCCACCCCATCCCCCCAACTAATTTCCACTTTCTGTGTTGTTACAAGATTACTTGATTGTTGAAATAATAAATGCATCATATCATTGATGATAGATAGTTTTTATACCTTACTAGTCTAACTTAATTACAAGCCCAATAACAATAAGACCTTTAACTACAAAACCTAATACATCCGCTTACAGAGCCCCTGAAGTTGTTTAAAGTATTTTTTAATAAAAACAATTACACTCTTGTTCATTCATTCAAAAGAATAGTACATGTACATGAGTACATCCATAAAATACCGGTAATTGATTGCATTTATTCTTATTTTTATAATTATTATTTTCCCCGTGTAAATTTCACTTGTGATTTTTGTTTCGAACTATAATTATTATTTGCCCCGTGTAAATTTCACTTGTTCATAGTTTGATTTTGTTTCAAACTATGAAAGAATAGTACATGTTCATGAGTACATCCATAAAGTCTCAATTAGCTGTATGAGACTACAATGCTTTGCAAACAAATGTCAAGTTTGTTTCTGTTGATGATGTTTGTAGGACACCGATATCAGTTTACATGATAGATAAGATCTCGAAAAGTTTGATTAACATTTCAAGTTATGGCGAAGAGTACGGAAAGGCGGGAGAAAATCCCATCAAAATTCTCTTTCATGGCTATGGTCACTATGACATATTGGAGACCGATACGGGCTCGTAAGGTATAAAAAATGGACAGGGTGAGGCTACACATTTACAGATTACAGATCATTCATTCATTCATTCATTACATGAAGAGAGGTTGGTAAGCATTTACCATAATAACCAACTAAAATTTGGATTTAAAGTAAATCCAAGTTTTAAAATACTCAAATTCTTCGAGGCTTAATTCGTTCATTGTTGCAATAAGATTATCTCAACAGATATGATTTGACAAATTTGTAGAATCGTTTTTCTGTTTCGAGTTCGCATTTAGAAAATCGGAAGTTTTGAACTTGAAGGTGTTTGTTTATGCTAATAAAACACACTTCTCTGGTATCACCTCCCAATGCCATTTTTTTTACATGAGCTTAAATTTTTATGTTTGAAAGTTTATATGCATTGCTTCTTGAATCTTTTGGGTGAAATGGGAAATGACATAGTATGGTTTACACAGAAAATCCCATGTTCATAATGTACCTAAACTAATTATATAATGTGTGTACTTTTTTTTTTGTTATTTCGTTCTTTGATTGATTGGAAGTGCACCTTTATTTTGAGACCTAATCCTTCTTAATTATTCACCATCAAGCCCTAGAAAAAAAATTCAATCGTCTTTTCACGCTCGGAACGAGCACGTTAAAGAGGTGACACGGCACAAGTACATGCACTAGTCGGATCAACAGACCCATAAAGTTGGTTCCACGATATGTAACAACACTTTGACCTTTTCGTCTCAAGGCATTCGAGTCATGAATATCCAATTACGGATCATTGAATTGCTGGTGTTCCATGCCACCAGTTTATGTTCACCTGTGGATTCGGGAACCCTTGTGACTATAAAAATATAGTTTTACCGAGACCTTTAAAGAAATGAAGACAATAAATTGATGGCGGATCGAGGATCAGGTGTGTCTTCTTGGAGTTGTCTCCTATGACAAACATTATGAGCGATGAAGTTAGGATTATCGATCTGATTGCATGGCGATAGACGAACTTCTCGACTAGGTCTTCAACCCAAATGTATCCAAATAGAACTCGGACTCAAAATTGTCGCCGATTATCGAATCATCATTCTTTATTTGAATGTTACGACCGGGGTTATTATGAAGGAAAAAATATCTAATATAATCTTACTTTCTAAAACTATTCACTCTTTACTATCACGTGCAATAAATTTATCTTTTGGCGTGTGTGAGTCTTGAGTCAATGCATGTTACGAAGGTAACGGTCAACTTACGGATTTCTTTAGAAAAGACTTATTTTGCACAAATAAATTAAAGGTGGATTATTTGAGGTGAATTATACTATTTTTCATTTTTTTAAATATAAAATTTAAAATTGTGTTTTTGAACATTTAACGGTATACTCTTGCTAAACATTTATCTCACTCTTTTCTAAAATAAGGTTCACAAGTTCTGTAGTACCGTTTTGAGAACAAGATAATAGTAGATTATTGAAAAAGTTCTGTAGTGTTGATACTCCGAAAATACTTAGTGAGTTAGTGATACTTATTGTTTCTTTTTAATCGATAATGTGGTATAAATGTTCTTCCCAAATAATATTACAAAAATCGAAAAAATTGCACAACAAATTCTCTTCTCCAAAACAGCATTAATTTTGTGCAATTTTGTACTGCCATGACAAAATTGTGTACCGATCATTGAATCATTTGTTGTGTGATTTTTGCAACTTTTGTTATGTTTTTTACATTATCAAAAAACCAATTTGTACTTTGAAAAATATACGTTTAAATTTTGTACTCCCTTCGTCCCTTTTCCTCTTTCTTGTTTTGACTTTCAACCAAATTAAGGAGTCAAATTTTTTGCATTGACTTGACAATTTACCCTCAACCCTAATCTATTAATGGAAAGCAAATAGTGTAGAGTAAATTGCATTTAATCTGAAGTGTACTTGGCCATCAAATTCAAGAGTTGTTGAGAATAAAAAAACAACCCATTCCCATCCCACACACACACGAGGGTAATGATGGGTGAGGCAAGAGTACAATAGCATCCACAATTTACATTCAAATACACACCAAAATAAGTTTTTAAACTATTTGGCTATTTTGGAGAATTTTGAAATTCCCTCCAGATCCATCCCTCCAAAAATAGCAAATTTTAACTACAAATACCTACCACACTTCTACTTAAATGAATGCATTCTTCATCCCTTATTCTTTTTCCTTTCTTCTTCAATATATCCTGCGTTTGAGCCCCCTTTGCACTCTCCCTCTTTTTCTTGTACTTCTTCAGAGGATGATTCTTCTTCCTTTGACCATCTTCCCCAAGTTATTGAAGTGCCTTTACCCATTCTTTTCACCCCTGAAATAGAAACAGAAACACAATCCGAAGGTAAAGGTGCTTTATTGAATCAAAGAAGGAAAAGAATTGCAGATCAGTTACTACAACATTGTAGGAATGACAAACTTCAGCAAAGTACCATAAAATTAAAAAACTGGTTGAAGAATTCAGCATTTCACGTAAAACTGTAAGCAACATTTGGCAAGTAGTTCAGGCTCAAATCCAGGGTGGTCAACCCATTGTTGTAGAGTGTAAGTGGAAAGGAAACTGTGGCAGAAAAAAGATCCATGTGGAATTTGAAAAAATGGCAGCTCTACCTTTCAACAGGCGCAAAAACATGTGTGGGAAAATAGGCATATTTCCATTCACTTATGAAGCTGCAGCTCAAAGGTCAAGTAAAAATAGGCCAGCAGGGACTATGGAGGTTAATGTTATCCCAATAATAAATAGGGATGTTATGAAAGACATGTTACTCAGTAAGTTACTACCAGCAATTAAGCAAAAGTGGCCAGGTTCTTCAATAAATGTTATTATTTAGCAAGATAATGCAAAGCCTCATGTTGATGGTAATGACCCTCATATTTTACTAGCAGGACATGAAGGAGACTCGAATATTGAATTGAAATTCCAGCCTCCAAACAGCCCAGACCTAAATGTACTTGATCTTGGATTCTTTACATCCATTGACACTTTACAAGACCAAGCTGCTCCTAGGTCTTTGGCAGACTTGGTTCTTGCTGTTACAACAGCTTTTGAACAGCTCTCACATGACACACTTAATAGAGTATTCTTGACCCTTCAAGGTGTGATGGGTGAGGTTCTTAATAACAAAGGGGGAACCATTTCAAAATCTCTCACATGAACAAAACAAAGATGGCCAGAGAAGGAACATTACCACAGAATTTAGGGGTCAGCTCAGAAGTGTATCATCTGTATTTATCAGTTGGATGTAATGTAGCATCTGTTATTATCGGAACAAATTTGATAAGCATTTTCAAATCATCAAGAAATTAAAAAGCAATTTCCAGTGCACATTTGAATCACTAGCAGGAGTGGCAGGGAATAAAGAATAAAGCACACAATCATACTCTCACCACAACACTTTTTGCACAAAACAGACAAAGGGTTGACCAAATGGATAAAAGTATTCAGTAATGTAAGTCTCCAGCCTATACGGGGTGACATTACAACTTTGCCAAATCAGTAACAAGTTTGAATCATAAGTTTGCCAATTCAGAAAGAATTAGGCTGTGTAAAAATAGAGAGTAAAATTAAAGAGTAGGGCGACATTACTCTTCCTGTAGCGAAGTGCCTTCGCCTCATCTCCACATGGCTCTTCAAAAAAAAAAATTGCATCAGACATCTCCAGGATCTGTTCTGAGGTAACAGATTCATCATCTTCATCCTCTTCCCCATCTTCGACACATCCTTCTTCTTCCTCTGAAGAGAAATGGTCTTCCCCTAGATATTTTTTCCGGTACCACCATGTTGGATCTGTATAAGAGGTTCCAGATCCGCTATCCCCAAAGTCATAATCAGGGATTGAAGGCTTCACAGTAGTTGGGACAGGCGTAAGAGACCATATCTCCTCATCACTATCGGTTAATAACTTGAAGCTTGGCATCGTAGGATGAGGAATCACCATAAGAAATTTTGGATTGGTCAAAGAAAAAGAGAAGGGGGATCTGAAGAGAGAAGGGTGCCGGCAACTGGGAAGTGGAATAGGCAGAGAAAAGAGACGGAGAAGAGTGTAGATGAGTGGGTGAGATAGGAGTGAATGGATGTATAATGTAGGTGGAGGGGTTTGGGTGGGTTGGGTAGATTTAATTAGGGTAAAGGGTATTAGGGTCCAAATGTGTGAAAAGTGAACCACTTTTCGGAACAAAAAAATTAAAGGAGAAAGACTTTTTGAGACGGAGGGTGTATAATTTATAATACTGAATTATCCATAACCATTCAAATGTTTTGTAATACAAATCTTTTTGTACCACAATATTTTTTCCATAGTTGCACTATAAATTGTTTATTCAATAATTAAGTACAATTTTTTTCGCAAATAAAATTAAAGTTGTGTAATAATTTTTGCACTAATCTTTTTTATTGAGTGGCCCTCCGAATTGTATTACGATTTTTTGTATTGTAATTTTTTTCTTGAGTAGTGCTACAAATTGTTTGTCCGATAATTCATTATTATTCTTTTACCAAAATAACACTACAAAACTTGTGAACCGTTATGTATTTAAAAGAGTGATACAAATCTTGACAAGTGTGTACCGATATATTTAAAAAAAACATAATTTCAAATATTAAAGTTTAAAAAAATGACTTTATTAAGTGGGTTACCTTTTTTTCTTTCTATTCTTTCGTTGAAACTCAAAAAGTAGTTAACCTTTTTTTATTTTTTTCTAATCACGGCACTGCATAAATTATTACCCATCTCTGACCTTTAACTATACCCATGGTAATGTCAAAAAAAAATCCTGGTTTTTCCACCAATAAAGAGGGAAAATATTATTTCTTTTTTTGTTTTTCCGCACAATTTTTTTTATTTTCTTATATTTATTGAAAAAAATATTACTTTCTTATATCTTTTATACGGAGTAGTATTTAATTTTTTAATGGTATGTACGGATTATCTTTTAGTATTCATAACTCATAACTATATTAAAAATGTAGTATCTGTTTACATATAGTTTTTAAATGTATTGAATTAGATAGAGTCAATAAGCTCAAAGGAATTTAATCCTGTAACCTTCAATATATTTGAAACACTCATTATGTTACTTGACCATTAAATATACAAATTATTTCTTCATCTTCTAAATAAATACTAACCACATTAACTTTAAATTTGTATAGTCATGTTTAATCAAAACTAGTTGGACCGCATGTACCTTCACCCGAACATCGCATTAGTATAATATTGTTCGCTTTGGACCAAACTCTAATGGATTTGCTTTGGTCATCTCCTAGAACACCTCATACTAGCTAATGGGTTGAGTTGAACCTATAAGAATTGGTTCTCTTCTTA